ACGTGCCCGTCGGTGGAACACTCACCTTCCTCCGAACTTATCTGAGCCTCCCGTATTCGCTGGTGACGGCATTGCTGGGGACGGTCTCATACGTTTGGCGGAGCCAATGGCATGTCACGGAATTTTACGTACTGTAGCGCGCGTTGTACCGCCTGTGGACGTACCCAGTCTTGAGCGGTCCATCACAGCCAAGCGCGCGAGTGAGTGAGAACCTTCCGGTACGACGAACAACAACTGGTGCACGTGGAAGTGCATCCCTGTATACCGTATCGCGTGGCACTGACCAGGCGACATGTGCAGGTCGCGGGGTTAAGGGTGAATGCGTTCGTCTCTTCACAAGGTCTGAAGTCATAGCCCAATTGCCCTGTGGCAGGTTCGAGAAGCAACTTCGTCAGCGTCACGACGCCGAGATGCAGGGACTGCAGGCAGAGGAGCAAAAGATTTTGGATGTCGAGAGAGAGGCACAGGAGGCACGCCTCAAAGAAAAACAGGGAAAAGGTGGAGGCTGCGAAATTGTGACCGCAAAATGCAAGCATGGAAGGGGCTTCGTCGTCGGCGATAGTCAAGGGAGAAAGCCTCGTAGCGTCGGGTGTGAAGGAGAAAAATGAAGAGAGAACTGTGATAAAACAACTGCATCGAGCAAGCGCAGGCAGAGACAAGAATTGTACCATCAGGGTTACCTCATCGCCTTTTCTGCACGAAATTTCCGAAGCGTTCCTGAACCTGAACATTCTCTCCTGTTCACGATGGGAGGGGGAGATGTGATCAAACAGTCAGTGTGACTGGAACTGCTTCAAAGTGTGCAACCCACGAAGTACGTATCTACGTGATTCGCACGCTTTGCGTTAACGCGCCCAGGCGGAGCTCGAGAGGCAACGAGAAGAGGAAAAGCGCAAGATGGAGGAGAGGAGCGACCAGCTCAATGCCAGCCAAAAAGAAGCTCTTCTGGAGCAGTTCAAGCTTGACCAGGTAACAAGTTGTTCCAGGCGCATCGTTGCCCTTTCGATACGAGGGACGTACTCGAAACGCCTGGTCGCCAAGGAACGCTGCTTCGTTGCAGCTGTTTGCGTGTAGGATTGGAAGGTTCTTGGCTTAAGGAATTTAGCGCTCCGTCGAACCTTCATCTCCTGCGTGTGTGGTTCTTCCCCCTCGTTTTAACTATTGGATCTCATGAAGGCGGCCGAACTCGGCGCCCTCAAGGCCGAGGAACAGTCTTGCAAGAGCAAGCTCGAGCAGAAGCTGGCCGCTCGACGGGGAAAAGAAGACGGAGGAAATGAGGAAAATAGAGGAGAGGAAGCTCAAGGAGAAAGAGGCCAGGGATGCCCAGAGGCTACAGGTGTGGGAAAATAGTGTCATAAACAGCACCGCCCATACCATACCAACGAAATCTGAACGTTGTCAATTGAATCATGTAAATTGGCTCGGGCGTTTTCCGTTCGAGCAACGATGCGCATTTCCGTGGAGGCCAATGCGCATGTCAATGTGTAGACGTTGTGCCAGCACCAGGAGCTAGCCTGCACATTCGTGGCAGCTTCTTGAAACAAGCAGAGCGACCACGATCATCGCGATTCCTCACACTCTTTTGAAAATCACGGATGTATTCCGTTGTGGGACTGCAAATGCCACGACAACCGAGAGCAGGAAATCGAGAGGCAGACCCAACTGGTGGATGCCGCAGAGGTCGGAGCACTGTCCGCTTCGGGAAGCGTCAGCGCACTGAAGGTGGACATCGACCAGGCAGCGATTCAACTAGCACGGAAGGTAAATGAGTGTTTAAGTCTCTGCGTTCTTTGCTGCGCTCTCGTTTCAAACCTTGCCGCCACGTGTTCGTAGTGGCCGATGTTTTGGTTTGAGGAAGACATGCATTTGGTGGTTTTCGTGCGGTGCTCGTTATTCCAGCGAGCGAGTGATGCTGGGCGAATATGAAGAAACCCGTGCTCGTAGGGTGCACCGTCGACACGACACCTCCGAAATGTTGCTAAAAAATGTGTGTTTGGGCTGAGTACGAGAATTCTTCCATGCACAACGACACTCCAGGAGAACATTTTTTTTGTCTCGCCAACCATCCAACCCTATGTACCTTCCATTCCTACCCGAACTAANGCAGAAGGGGCGCACGGGAAGAGACCATGCCGTTGTGTTTCTTTTCTGGTACCAACAATGGGGGCTAAGTCAATGGGGTCACAACCTAGTCACAACATGACTCTGACTGTTGTCAGAGCTGGGGCCTCAAGGGGAGACGGAGAACCAGGTGGTGCCAAGATCGCGTAGTAATGATCAAGTCAATCAGGCGCTTTGCACGTGTAACGGCGAGAATCGGTACCTACTACCAGGTGCTAGTGATACAAGGGTTAGTCGCCAGCTTGATTCCTGGAATACTTGAAAATCTACCGATTGTATTGTGCGTTATGACACTTTCCTGATTGCAATACAAGTCGGTCGTGTAGCGCAAATACAAAAATGGCACGTATGGGAGCTCATTGGTACCATCTTGTCTTGAGGGAAACTTCAATTCCCTGAGGTCGCATGACCACCAGTTTCAGATTTACCTAGTTACTCTTCGGTCTTCACCCCTGTTGCTTGAATCCAATGAAAACAACGCGCACAGACTATGTCCCGGGACTACACCACACAATCATACCCAACGATCTCGAAAGCCCTGAACACTGGCAACTCATTCTCGTGAAGCTCCCCCGTTCGGGTCTGCTCTACACCCCTTTCGCAATAGGCAATGAAACACGTCATCTTTCCTGGATTCATGTCAACTTGCAGGAGAATGGTCCAAAGGCACAACAGTGTCAGCGGCAGGGGATCTTTGTCCGGTGCCAGCGAGGGAGCCTCTGCGGCGGCCGCTGCCGCAGCCGCCACGGCAGCCACGGCGACGGCGTACACGCACATATCGTCCAAGCTGGAGGGACTCGAGGGCCTCATCTCGGCACTGAAGGTGCGACTCATCTGCTGCTCTACTGGTGGTAAATCACATAAAAGCGATTCATGATCCATTCATACCATCGACCGCACATTATCCCTGGATGAATTTATTGACGCACATTTATTTCCTGTTGCTTGTGAGAGAATTGGACACAGATGTAAAATTTTTAGTGTATCATTACCTATTGCGCTGGTTCTGTTTGCTGGACATATACATATTTACGTCACGAAAGAACTTGTACAACTTTTCAGGGCTTGTTTTCAGCGTGTGCAACATATGTAGCGTAGGGGTTTCATACTGCACAAGGGGGCGAAGCGGGAATCACGGGGTTGGGAAAGAACCCACGAGTTGCCGAGCGAGAGCAGGTCCGCAAGAACTGAACAGAGACCATTGGTTTCGGGGGGAAGGGCGGGGGTTGAGTCTGTTGCATCAACTTATTCACTGAGCCCTGGGCACGTTGTGCTGATTGCTGTTGACCTCGATGAAATCAGGCTGCCCAAGGGAACCGGCTGTTGGGGCCCGGCATTTCCGCCGGTGATGACGGGTCGACACAGGTGTACAGAGACGCCGAGGACGAGGCCATAATTCGGAGGGCAACGACTTGCAAGTGAGAGCCAGACAAACACAATATTCATGTGAACACCTTGTGCGAAAATGGCCGCAAAGTTGTTCGAAGCGATAAGCATGAGTTGGCTCTCGCATTCGGACACACACAAGCGGGAGCATTGAGCGACGTGTACGGCGAGAAAGCCACCCACCGACCTGAAATTTCGCCCTGTGGTCGTCGACGTTGGTGGATGTAGAAGAAGTACAAAGAGCGGGCACTTCTCAACCAAAACGCACTAAACCTATGCAGAGAACCCACCACCCAAACCATAACCCGTCCTCCTCATGACCTCGTTTCACTCTTTTCCGGTATTGAACAAGGTTATCCCAAGAGAAAAGCCCCCGGTGCAAGCACTTGCCCAGCTGGAGTTCGGGGAGCACCTGCTTTCGGTGCTCGGCCTCGCCGACACTGTTAAGCTTCAGGTCGCCAAGAACCTACCCCCGACGGACGTTCTTTGTCAAGGCAGCGGTACCGGTGGTAGGCTCAACGCCAACGAGTTCCGCAACTCCTACCTTTGGGAGGCTTCAACCGGCGTGCTCAATCTACACGGTTCGTGTGACCGGCGGAGATGCTACCATATTGCTGTAGCGTATTTGCGAACAGCGTTGCGATGAAAGTGCTGAGGGGTTTCGAAGAAGGCGGAACTTCCGTAGGGCGATGAAGTATAAACTGCCGAAGTTCTTCGGTAGGTTCCTTCGTGGATTCACCGAAGTACCTGCGGGACTTGAAATTGCTGCCTTCTAACATTTGTGGCTACCTCGACATGACTATGTCGGTCTGATTCGCGAAAAAAATAGTTGTCAACCGTCATGCCCGTTCCATCGCCTTGTCCCTTCCTCGATATTGCCGCTATTCGGGCACAATTCGGCGTCTTTCGAGCAGTGGAGACTTCGGGTTGGTTCTCGTGCACTCGGCGGCTCACATCCACGTCGACCCGTCGGACACGTCTAATGACCTAGATCCGCGATTCATGGAGCACTTCCATCGCTCGCTCACGGTGTTGACACAAGGTGAGGCGGAGCTCCGAAACGTTTGCACGATCTTCGGGCGAAACGGAGCCAGTGTGTGTCGGGAGTAAAACTCGTCGAGGTAAACGCTGTGATTTTCCTGTCTACGCACAGTTTAATGCTATTTGACGAAAGTACGCTGGAAACATATCCATTGGGTGCCAGGTATTGGAGGGAAAAAGCCTACGTCGTTGACAAGATCCGACGCGCGTGAACGAGAGTGCTGGGTCCTTCTCGCTGTATGGAACGAATAACCATGTTTTGACGGTACGTCTGGTGGTCGTCTCACCTCACTTCATTCTCCTCAACATTTACTTGCATACAGAGCTGTTCAAGTACAGAGAATCAGCGGCACCGATAGCTGACGGCGGTTTGGGATCCCCCATCCCCAGCCCCCTCCTTGCCGGCTCTGTGCCGGGAAGCAGCGGCAAAGCTGACATAGTGCGTGGGGCAGCGGAGCACAGTCGAAAATGACAGGGGCGGGTTGTGGCGAGTTCGCGCAGGTGACTGGAGAATCCTTGAAAAGGTTTTCAGATGGTGGGGTTGGGGGGCAACAGGACGGGGGCCCGTATTCAGGAGGTAAATACTCAGGTGTATGTCAGGATGTCCTCCTACCATCCCTGACGTTACGGAGGTGTTTCGGCTCATCATCTAGTCGATTTGTTTCGTTGCTGAAACGTCTACCTCTATTTTGGCCGGTGACCCTAGTTTTCTTTGTTAAAAATTGATGCGGTATATTTGTCTAACAAACATGCATACACCGAGCATTTCGCGTAGCCCTCGAAGTCCGTGATGAAATCAGTGCTATCTTAGCAATTTAAATGACGGTGGCACCTCTTTGCAAACACCGTCCCTCCTCAATCATTCACTTAGGACATTCTTGCAGAGAGAATGGAGAAGTACGCCCGGGCTAGTGGGCACCCGCGTTTGGTGGAAATCCTGTCGTGCCACGTCGACGAACAGAAGGACAAGTTCACGCTCAGCGACGACGAGGACCAGGTATGTCCGGAGAAGATTCTTGTCTGGCGCTATGCTGCCCACAACGGTTGGTATTGAAGACTAATACCTAATACCCATACCACATTAATGGATGACTTTTCGAGTTATGCGATTGGTTTTCTTTCAAGACACCAAGACCGTTCATGAATTCATTTTCTCCTCTGAGGCGTGCAACGCACGACCCAAAACAAATTCATGCCAATGGGACACGAAGTCGAAGTACAATGAGGCACGGTAAGCATTCGCAACTCACATGGTAAAACATGGAAATGTTACACCACATGCATGCATTTCAGGGAAATTGTGACTTTGTTGTCGTTATCGCCGTTGGCGTCTGTAATCGCTCAACCTCTGGCTTCTATCCAGCACCTGTACGGCATCACATTTGATAGGCTGCAATTTTACCGCGGTAACAAACCCACCCCAACGCGACTACACGAAGTGTACAAAAAATGACCAGTTCTGTTCGACTACCGTACGTCAGACATGCGTTGTGTATGTGGTTTTGTACCGTACATGGAACATATTTTCTGTGCTCGTATGAAACAGAGGGAAGGACTATTCTCTTGAACTTTCGTCGTGCCAGCTTTCGAATTCATTGGGTGCCATTTCCCCACGTGCCAGAGTCCCCAGTTCATGGGGTGCTTCTAGATCAAGGCAGAACAAAAACAAATTGTTCGTGAAGCACAATAAAGTGTGCCCTATGCCCTCGATTGTTTGGTCCCTACCCTGCTCTCTCCTCGACCATGCCTTCCTTACAAACCCGAAGGTGTCGAATGTGGGCGACGTCGAATACACGGAGAAATTCGACAACAGGGACGCTGATTCTATCTTTCGCTCGCCGGTCGCCAGTATCAGCGGACACGAGAGTTTCGATGATGATGCCAGCGACAACGGAAGGGAGGAGAAGAAGGAGCTATGAACAGAACAAATTCCATTCATGCCAAGACCTGCTGGGGATAGGCAGTGCCTGGGTACCATTCCCTCAAGCCGTGTGTCCGCGTACGGCGCGCATTAGTGTAGAGTATTGATTGTATTTTTTCAACTTCAAGCTTTAATCTTGTCTGTTCTACAACTTTACGAATGTTCTCTTATCCACGTGCAACATGGTCAATTTTTGTGAGTCTCAGGAAGGCAGGTAGCAGTAGTGTCGCTGGCTGTAGTGAGGCTTCAATCAAAGAATATGTCTATGAGACATTCGATCATTCGTCGCTCGTCTTATTCGGCATTTCAAATGTTCAAATGATTGAATAGCCTCGGGTACATAGGTTCTTGTCCAAGGGATGCCAGGGGATGCTCCACTGCTGTGTATCTGGCTAGGCATCAAGGGACAGCATGAGAATATAGAGAGATGCTCTGCAATTATGTGCTTTAGCAGTCGATTGAATATGTGTGACGCTGAAAGAAGAATAGAAACAGAGACATTGAGGTAAGAAGACTGGGAAAGCGCAGTACCAGCAGCTCCTTAGTCGTGCGGCGCGCAACGACATAACGCGGTTTGCTGGTAAGAGGTGGGTTAACGCAGGAGACCTGAATCGGTGTTGAAAGCTGAAAGTTTGAGATTTTATGAAACTGGTGGATGGCTCACAGAGACCTTGAAACTCTGTGCTAGATTGACACTTGGGAGATGATCTAGAAGAAAGACTGGATTTGTCTTTATTTCTCCACGGATTCGTAAAGACATTACGAGATTGTATTTCGCATTGAGTTGGGTAGGGGGGGATAATAATGTAGACGCTTTCTGAAATGCGAGAGAAATATTCAGCAACACTACTAGGGGATTGATCAAGGGAGGCATGACGACGGGGAATAAAGTGAAAGAGCGCCCTACAGTAGCTCCTCANGGGGGGGGGGGGGGGGGGGGGGGGGGGGGGGGGGGGGGGGGGGGGGGGGGGGGGGGGGGGGGGGGGCATGACTTCGTCAGTCGTGGCAGAGATCTGTGTAGGCTTCGTGATATCTGAGGGAACGACGTTACGACGGAGCCCTCGATGCTCCACAATGCGGCTCACCCCACTCTCCAGAGAAGATATTGGCTTAAAACACTTCGTTTATTTGCTCGTGCTTTGGCCATCCGGGTGTTCAAGGGAGTGCACTCTTCAGCACTTGGGATATACATCGAACAGCACACCTATACAAGTACTTAGCTGTTCCGAGGGGACGGTCAATGCACAAAGGATTGGACGACTGGTTCTGTCTTGTACTCACCGCAGCGAGCGTGTCTGCTCTCTGCGACAACGCAAGAGTTTGGACCGGCGAGTGTAACGCGGGATGAGTATGAGGAGCAGATTTGCACTACAAGCAGCATGCGTCGAACAACCAAGCCATTCTTAAAGCCGCGTATTGCAGAGAGTAATTCAAATCCTCTAAGAACGCCCCGGTCCACGAGAATGTCCCTCCCCTCACCGAACAAAATACCCCAGGGGGATCACAATAACTCAAGCTTTTGGTCGTACCTGGGTGATCGTGTGGTTTCCCCCCGCTAACGCATACCTACGACTCTGCGGGGCGTTCAGTTCAATTCATGAATACGAAGGAGGTGCCCTCATCGCAGGACATTCACCAATATACTGAAGGCATTCATTCCGGCGAACACTACTACTTTTTTACCCGTTTGTTGATTATATTGTTTCGTCAAATCAGGCGCTGTTCATCTACTGTATTTAGTGTAGTCTACATGTCACCTCGTCCTCGCTATGTGCTTCTCGCTATAAATAGGTGAGTCACGGTCACACAACCAGAAGACCGCAGCACCCATCTACCGTATGTGAATGCAAGCCTCACCAACTATCAAGCGATACTCTCAATCTCTCCCGTTGAATACGAAGACTCTGCTATAGCTTGTCGTGAGACCAATGAATCGTGTTCCGTTGTTTCGCAACAACCTGCCAGACCAAGAGACTATACCGAACATGTAAAACAGCGTAATGAAAAGAATGGGCTTAAGTCAGGAACAACAACGCGCACGCTGCACAGTTCAAGCCGTAGGTCGACATCACGGGCTCCGGGGCGAGACGTTAAATAATTTGTCTAGAAAGTTTTTGTTGTGTTCATTGGGTGTGTAAATCAGAAGAAAGAACGCAACATCCAGCGGGGATTTTGGCCCGAGCGGTGTTTTTTTCGTGCAACGATCGCTCGCTTATCGCCGCCCCTTACCTTTGAGAAGTATTACCTTCGAGAACCTCCTTTGAGAACCAACCGCCTTTGAGAACGCCCGTGGGGCACGTGCTTTCAAACATGTCACACGGCCGACACAGGGTGTTCTCGAAGAGGTTCTGAAGACGCTTTTTTCCCATGCAGCTCCATCTTGTGAGTACTCCAATCACTGGACAACTATAGTCTACACTACCAACTACCACATTCGTCCCCCGCGACCATGAGCTGTCTATGGGGATGATACTCCTCCCTTGGGTTCTTGGACGCTCTCCACATGGATATCCTCCTACAGGAGCGTGCCAAGAAAAACAAGCGTCCTCTGTCGGCATTGGACATGGCCACCCGTCAGCAGCCAGCCCCATTGTGACATCAAAAACAGCAGCATGATGGGGCTATGTAGTAGCATCTCACCAGCAATCATTTCTGCCTCAATGTATCTATGCTATCAGCAAGCACACGGCCGTCGCAAAAGCAGAGAAGGCTAACAGTAGTCAAGGGAAGCATCCAGCAGGGTTGGAGCAGCAAACATGCAGAGGGAGTCGGTGCTGCCGTGAGATCCCCGCCACCTCGTAATCAAGTGTGAGAGAATCCCTCTTGCGGCTTCTATCGGCAAAACAGAGCGCTCTCGTTTGCACCCTTTGCGCAGTCCTTCCGTACCACGCCACCAACATCAACAGCAGGAAATAACAGATGTTTAATAGATGGTTTGTGCCACATGAGATCCGCGCTGATGACGTGTGCATGTGTTTTTGTTTGTTTTGTTTGTTTTTGTTTTTCTTCACATTAAACTCGTGTCAGTTGCTAATCCCAAAATCTAGCGAAGACTCGGTCCGTGGTCACAAAAATGCTAGAGCCATCAGAAGATCTGAAGAACACACACACACACACTATTAGCAAGGAAAGGGTACGCAAGCCCGAGGAGGTACACCTGCAATCCCTGCAGCACGTTTGCATGCTCGCAACTGAACTACACGCCCACACACTACAAATCGACTACAGCAGCAGCAGCATCACCCCCCTTGTCCCGCCTTCAACCAAAATGGATGTTTGTCGACTACAGCGTACTACTGCTGTCTGAAGTGCTGTCTGTACATGTGTGCTATGAGATGAAGATCCCTCCTATTTAGGTGCTGCTGCGCAGATGCTGAATGCGCACAATGTCCGCGATTCCCCACGAGGAACGGCAAAAGGGAGCGTATGCATCTACTTGTCTCTGAGCAGCAGCGGTCCCTCCACACGAGCCGCACCACCACCCATAACCAACAGCAGCAGGGAGAATAATGCTACTTCACCAGTGTGCCAGTTGTTGTTGGGTAGCGTCTGGCGATCGATCACTCTTCCGGTATCACCCGATACCCGACATCCCGACATCCTCTTCCGTGTTCCGCCGTTAATTACCACCGACGGAACTGACAGCGCTGGGAGCTCGGCTCAGAAAGGCGCGCCGGATCTCGGCTGCCGTGACTACCCGCTACTGCAGTACATCCATCCCTTGTACAGCCTTAAATAAGTCGTCGTGATATCCGAGCCGAGAGCCGAGCTGCCTCCCAAGCGGAAAAAAACTGATGAAGCAGCAACAGCAGCTGCAGCCTCGAAGAAGCCTCGAACAACGTTGAGCAGCAGGAGCAGCAGCAGCAGCAGCAGCAGCAGCAGCAGCAGCTCAAAGAGTGCCGCAGGGAAGGCTAAAGCAGGGGCGAAAGGAAAGGCGAAGACTGCCGAAAAGCCTGATGCTGACCGCAAAGCGTCGTCTCCCACAACTTCTTCGGCTGGTTCTACCGACAAAGGTGGTTCTAGTGCTTCAGGAAAGGCCCCGCCCCCGAAGAGAAACCAAAAAGGGGAGCTCGATCGTCTTTCCTGATTTCCCAAAGTTTCGACCGAACTTGTCACCCAAAGAGCAAGTTCTTCGCATGGGGTCTTTCGGCGCGACGTACTTCAGGCCGATCAAGTCTTCGGTAACTGGAAAGACGTACCGCAACCAGTGGAAGGAGTTTCCCGGGGGTAAGTTGCTGCAGCATCCAAGACCACTTGCAACTTGCAGACGACATGGAACAAGATATGTGTGCTCTTGAAATTTCTGATCGGTGACGTACTGACCACGCGCGGTTGAATCAGAGCCTACCGTCCGAGGCCGTGGTGCTGGCAAGTCTTCACAACAAGATTAATGCAATCCAAGTGTTCCGAGTTGGATCGCATGTGTCTTGATGACCTTCGGACGTGCTACCATTAGACCGGCTCGAGGGTTTGAACGTGAAGAGGCAGGTGGCCAGTCCCACCTACTTGAACTCTGTCAACACGTACGGCGTCCACTGTGGTGGGGACTTGCACATGTGGGAGTCGAGCGGATGGATAAAGTGAGCTGGGGACAATTTGTGCGACCTTTGAATCTTGTTCGTGTCAATGCACGATGCTGCGTTGTCTACTGTGCGTGCTGCCTATCCGTCGTTCATGAATGAGGAGCGCACAGGTGATGCTTACCGAATGCACAAGATCTGTCTATGGCAAGCACGGCCTGCGGTCCGGCTGTCAAACAAACATGCTGACATTCCCCTCCTCCTCCTTCAACGACTCCCCCCCTCGTCCCATCTTTCCGTGTATCTTTGCCCTGCTTCCCATAATTGTGTTCGTGCGTAGAAGATAGTCGAAAAGTAGCCATTACGTAGGACGCAGCTGGGACAACTTGAAGGGTATGTTGTGAGAGGCTTTGGATGATAGTGCGGAGTCCCCGTGTTCTCTCGAGAATTGGGGCCTCTCCTCCTTCTCCCTCTCTCCTCTCTCATGCGAGCTAATACACACAGTTAAACAGCAGCCCCAAGTCCGCCGGCCCTTAACAGGGCTAGGGCTCACGAACACGCTAGCGTTCGTCCTCCCGGGAGGATCCGCAAGACGGTGCGGGCTATGCCAAGCGAGAGGCAGCGGGGTTCCAGCAGCCAGGGTACGCAACTCTGAACTGGACGCTTTCTGACTGGAACGGAGCAGTAACTGAACGAGTAGAGATGACAGAGGTGCAGGAGATGATGGGCATGCTGCCATCGCTACTGCAGGCCGAGTCGGAAGGGCAAGGCCAGGAGGGGTCGGCGGCGCTGCAAGAGGGCGCCGCGGGTGCGGCGGAATTGGGGGTTCCGCCGAGCAGCCACCGAGAGCTGTGTCCTGCGGTGGTCGTCAGGGAGGGCGACACTGCTGGAGGAGAGAGCAGCAGTAGGCCGGGCGTGGAAGGCGCCCTGGTGCGGCATGTGGAGGTCCCTGCTGCAGGTGGGTTTGGTGCATTCCAAGACACCAACTCTCTTCGTAGTACGTTCGGCAGTGCTTGCGTACAGCAGTCTGCTGCCGCTGGAGACACTGGTGAGAGTGTCACAGCAACCGATCAATCCATTCAGGGGAGGTCGGGTGGAGAATGCGGCACGGCGGAAGGGTCGTGTCCACTGTTCTGCCTTGCTGTAGTAGCGGGCGGGGCGCACAGAAGTCGCCGGAATTGATGGTGCAACAGAACGGACGGAGGGACCGTGAAGTCGCGCAGTTTTGGCGCGCACTCCATCTGTGGTAAGACGGTGGATCAACATGAAAGGCGTTCGAGTATTCGGCGCAACAGAACGGACGGAGGGACCGTGAAGTCGCGCAGTTTTGGCGCNATCGACCGCGCGACGGCGCGGGGGGGGGTGGGCGCCGTACATGCTTGATGCTGGCGGTGTTTTGTTAAGTCGATCCAAGGCCGGCAGTAGAGGCCGGGTACGCCCTACCACGGTTGACACGCGCGACGGCGCGTCGGGGGGTGGGCGCCGATCACGCGGGAGCGGGCGGCGGTTTTTGACCACAGCACGGACGGAGGGGCCGTGGCTGCTTTGCCTCGTCGTCGGAACGGGGAGGGCAGCATTATAAGGCGCGCGGAGGTGGCACGCAAACCCAGCACGGACGGAGGGGCCGTGGCTGCTTTGCCTCGTCGTCGGAACGGGGAGGGCAGCATTATAAGGCGCGCGGAGGTGGCACGCAAACCCAGCACGGACGGAGGGGCCGTGGCTGCTTTGCCTCGTCGTCGGAACGGGGAGGGCAGCATTATAAGGCGCGCGGAGGTGGCACGCAAACCCAGCACGGACGGAGGGGCCGTGGCTGTTCTGCCTCGTCATAGGAGCGGGGGGAGTAGCATATCAAGTCGCGCGGAGGTGGCGCGCAACCATCAGCCGGAGGTGGGTGGTGGAACGGGGCACAGCTAAGTGGGTGTCATCAAAGTCGCGTGGGGAGGTGCCGCGCGCATTTCATCAGCCGGGAACGAGCGGTGGAGACAAGAATGCGTCAGGATGGACGTGAGGAATTAAAGGCGTGCTTCGTCATCAAGATGTGTTGGTGGAGTAGTTGGAATAAGCTTGGATTTTGTTGTCTTGTTTTGTGTGGAGGTACCAGTTTGAGGTCGTGATGAAATCAAGCAACTTGTATTCGAGGAAATTCTGTTCACTGTTGCGTGTTTCTTTCCGCCGTCATTTGCGCGTTGTCTTGCACCCAAATCGTGGTTGTTCCGAATGTTTGTGTTCGTCGTTATGCCATTAGTGCATCCTTCGCCGGGGACGTTGTGTTGCTGGTGATGATGGCAAAGTGTCGGGGGGTAGAGACGTTCACGTTGGTAGAATCTGCCACCATCACTCATGTGTAGGGGCTACGCGGTTATATGTGACCCACGGCCTAAGTAGGAGGCGTTTGTGTTTTGCGTAGTTGTGCTTGACGGTTCAGTAGCAAGTTGATGTATCGTTGATTGAAGGAGAACTGAGGATTGATTTGGTAGTTTGCAGATGGTGGACCTTGTTTGAAGCAGGCTACATTTGGCAGGCTGTATATTTCTCAAAAGCGGGCATCCTTTGGAGAATCGAGTTTGATTGGTTTTTCAGTTGGAAACAGGTCATGATTTTGAGTTCGTGTAGGATTGCAGATGGTTGAACCGAAGGCAGGGAGAACGTACCTGTTCGATGCAGTTTTCGTGTGGAATGCAGATAGACAGGGAGGGCGTTGCCTGTATGTGTGTGACACCTGAAGAGTCAGTTGGTGCTGCACAGCAAGGAGTTCGTTCCATCATGTCGGAAGGATTTGTCAGTGGCGTTGCTCGAGGTAGTAGAGCGTTGCCTAGAATTTGTAATCCGAGCGTCTGGAATGGTTTTTTGTTTGTCTTCTTGCAGTACGGTCGTTGGAATCATTGGTGATATGGACGGCTATTGGATTTTGTTTGAGCCGTTGGAATCTTTCGTGATATGATCGGCGTGAGGCGTTGAATTTCTGAGGGGTTTTGATCCGGTGGCCGGGTTTCCCCTTTATTTTTGGTTTGTCGTTGTGTTTCGGTTTTTCCGACGTATTTTCGACGCACTAGAGGTTCTTCACTGGCGTAAAGAACCCCTTGTATAAGGAGCTCTAGAAGCATACCCAACTTTTTCTATCGTGCTCGAACCGTACAAAACACTTGCAAACACTATAGCACGCCTCTGACGATACGTGTCTGATTGCTGATTGGCTGCGATCCATCCAAAAAAAGTGTACGGTTCGGTGTACGTTTTCTAATTGGTTGACTACACTACTACACTACAGTCCCGTGAGCATCTCATCGCACGGGCGCGTTTCTCGAAGACACCTGCTCGGATTCGGCTCAAAGAAGTTGCGGATGGTAGGCAAAGGGGCCGGGAGCACAAACGTGGCGCATTTTGTGGGTCATAGCACTATCTGTGACGAGTGGGGGCGGAGTAAGTGATCAAGGGGGCCCCGTGGATGTACGGGCACGGAATATGGCTGTAAAATAACAACTGGTACTTCGATTTCACTCGTTTTTCTTCGCGTAGATCGGTAGGCTGGCCCAAACACATACGGGTGCCAGGTTTCAGGGTAATCCACGTAGACTGAAACACTACTGCTGTAAACCTTCATATAAGCTTTAAAAATCGACATGAACTCGGATTCTCTTCGTTTTTTTTGCATCAGGTGGGCATAGGCAAGACACGCACTGCCCTCGAATTTGAACGAGATCGGACACCATGGCGGCCAGTTATGTGGCTTTTTACTAGCATAGACAATCAGCCGAAAATACAGTTTTTTCAAATTTAAAAATCCGTTGTTTCCTGAAAACAAATTCTGGCAGGTCAGTAATGAAGATACGGTCAATGCGCATCTAGTACAATAAAAAAAAGGTCCAGCGGACAATTTGGCGCCGAGATACATAGGGAAACGTGGTCGTGAAGATAGGAGACCCATAGGTTTTCGGCGGGTTTCTCCGCGGAAACGTCCCAAGACGTACAAAAAACACATTTGCGGCGGTCGGGGATAGGCTTGAGACAAAAAAAAATGCAATGTGGGTGGGTCTCGGGGTCTACATGCGGGTGCAGGGTGGTGATTTGACAGGGGGGCTCTGTACATACCCTGTGAATGAAATCACGGTGCCCCGACTACTTTTGTGATTCCAACGCTCTCGTCAGAAACGCCCCAAAAATAAAACGTTTTGCACTGGAAGGCATCTACACACTGTAAGAATGAAAAACTGTCCTTTCGGGGAGGTGGGGGGATGTCTACGTAATGATGTCAGCGCTTACACAGTATTTACACGTGTGTACGAATGGTTGAGAGGGCACACACGCGTCTTACGCACAAGACAGACAACAGTGTGAGAGAAACACGCACCTTCCGTCTCCACGGAGGTGGCTTGGGAATCTGGCTGGTGCTTCTGCTGATGTCCGTTGACTGCTGCTGTTATGCTAGAGGCGGTGGAGGGCTGTGTGTGTGAGGGAGGCAGAGGGAGCGCTCGCGGTGCGGCGGGTTCTAAAACTATTGTTTCGTTTCGGGATAAGTTGCGGCGGAACCCATAAAAGTAGCCGTAGCTCGTCACCTCTTGCTCCGATTGAGCTCGGATTTGTTGCTGTCGATTTGTATGAGCCATGCGCATCGGATAGTGTTGCTGAAAAAATCATGGTGGTTTGGAGCACGTAAGCAGCTACACATGCCTGTGAGGAGTAGCGGAAGTTGGACCTTTGGTTTCGAGAACTGATATTTTTTCGGGCTTCTGTCGAAGACGAAATAGGCTTCTTGAAAAGTGGCCGTCTAGAACGTAATAAGGTCAGAATCAGCCAGAGTGAAGAAGCCCCGCACCACCCACTTGTTTATTTCTCTGTTATCAGCCCCTTCTGGAAAGATTCGTGCGCACTCTCCCGCGAATAGCAAGTGTTCCCCACGACGCAGGGTAGTTGGAGGCTCATCACAACTCAACCTGCGGGAAAGAGCGCTGGTGATGGGAGGCCTCAACCAGTACGCGCTGTGTCATGCGTCGCACACTCTACGTGGATGAATACGAAGGTGAGGAGCATGGTTGTGCGGGGACCATGTCGGGAATCAAGCGAGAGTGGAACACTCGTGGGCTGTATCGTAACCCCGACTGAGAACATCCTCTACTTGGCAAGACATACTTGGATGGTTCTGGTACATCGAGCTTCGTACGACAACCCGTTTTGCGGACGTAGAGGGGCGGACGTCATCGAAAAATCCGGGGCATCAGTCAAGGCGAAACATTATAGCGTTCGTGGACAAATGTGCTGTCGTCCACCTCGGAGGCGTCACTCCTCATGAAACGGAAAACGCTCCCGCCTCGCTCGTGTTTGACAGAAAATATAGCCACAACGGAGGGAACTCAATCTACGCCGACCGATACGATCCAAACAGTGTTCTCAGCCAAAACAATCCAGTTTGTGCCCAAGGGTGCAAAAAGCCTGGGAGTTCTCAGTCTACTCTGTTTCATCGGTGGCTCCTTGGTTTGGCAGGCTCGCCAAGCGAGCAAAGGTTTGAGTACGTCGAGCACCTAAACAACATTGCCCTAGACTGCCGCGAAAGTAATTCGAGGACTTCCACGACGGTAAAAATCTCCATATGAACAGGTTGAAGCGTGCGTTCTGGGTCCAGGGCGTAAAAGGCGCGGCACGCAAAGCGGAGAAAAGAAATCCATCAGTCACACTGGAAGGTCGTGCGTCGTCTGCCGCCGCTGCCCGATTTTGTGTTCGCGTTCAAGCGTGTCAAACGGCCACGAAATTTACCACGTAGAGTGGAGACGTAGCAACCTGCAGGGTGCTCAACGAACGAGCAGTGATTTTGGAGTATGTAGCAATCGGAGGGGTGTGTGCGAAAAACTTGAGGATGTACCAGTCGTTCTGGGATACGTGTGTAGTGTTGATAGGCCTGACATATGTAACACATGCTCGTGCTGGTATTCATGCGCGTAATAAATCTTCAATTTTTCAGTTGGAGAAAAGGGAAATCGGGCTGTTTCCCGTTGTCCCATCCTCTAGAGCAACCCGCTTGTAGACACTATGCGACCGATCCTGAAACTGGTGGAATGGTACATACGACGTCTTGAAACACAATGAACGCCGCCACACCTACTGCGAAGGCTACGCTGCGCTACGAAGCAATACGGTTTTCGTTACTGAGTACGCAATAGGCTGAATTCTTCACGCACTGCTTGGTAGTGGCTAAAAAAGATTCGGCAGCAGATTTTCTCGGTAGCACTCAACACATCAAAAAGACATTTGGGTTCAGTTCGTGCAGTGTACAACTGGAACTCACATCTCCTGTATGGTTGCATTTTCTCCACGTTGCCTCACGACGACCGGACACATCACCCTTGGGAGGACGGTCCCTTAAAATACGAAAATACGACGTGAGAGAACCGTCACGTCCGGTACAAAGCATAGCCAGCGCTGGGCACAACGAGAGTAGCGAAAAATAACCATCGACGGACCCAGAACCATCTACAGACCCAGATGTTGAAGAATCGCAAAACCACCAGGCTGTTGCGAGTGTTGACCGTGAGTGGGTGGTCTTGCCTAAGCGTCTTCGTACCGATTGCGAGGACCCTCTCCAGTAGTGGAATGGCCCCCGCGTAGTCCCCCTGGCGACGTTTGATATGCATGGTTGAGAAACTTAATCCAGTGCGCAAACCACGTATCTGAACACGTGGGGGGTAAAACACCATTTCGTTCACCAGGTAGTGCACACAAACAGTTGGTTGAAAGCAAGTGGTCCAGCAGATTGCATGAAAACATCGAACACATGAGGATTCAATATGAAAAGGGTGTTGCGTCGGCCAAGACGTCGCCTCTGTCACCTTTTGCCTCCAAGAAGCCCCTGACTAGAGCAAGTGCACGCCAAAATAATCAAGCCTTCTACCTGCTTGTCCAAGATCAACCGGTTGTTGAGCCCCACATCGTCCGTAGGACCCAACAAACAAATCACTGAAAATTCTGGGTCTCACCTGGGCGCACAACAAACCACCCCCGGTTGTTAAGCAACACAAAATTCACAGGGCACCACGAGAGTTTCCTGGGAAATTCTGATGTTTCTCATGTGCCTCAACAACCCCGCCCGCCCGCCCGCCCGCCAGCCCGCCCGGTTGTTAAGCGACGGAATACTCACCACAAGCATATTCTCCGAAGTTTACAAGAAACCCAGGAGTTTTTCTGATGTCGGTCGCCATCTCGCTCAACAACGCCGCCAGTTGATGAGCACTAAACAATAAAATTTGTGAAATTTTTCAATGACTCTCACCTGCTTGTGCAATAGCCCCGCCGGTTGTTGAGCACTACAACATCAACTGGGTGCTGAAAGAAAGTCTCTGGGTATTTCTGACGCTCTCACCTGACTCTTCAACAACCACGCGCGGTTGCTGAGCCATCTGGCAAGATCTGGGTGGTCGGAGCCATGAGTCTTCTCCCCAATCTCAATAGCTCGACGATATAGAGCGTCCGCTTCAGAATATTTGCCCTGCATGGTAAGCAGTGGGACATTGTGAGGGAGAGGTCCACCAAGAACAAAAAATATTCACCAACGAGCTTGTACCCTACGGAACTCCCGGAAAATTCTGCAGGTTCCTACCTGCACTCTCGACAACTCCACCTCACCCGGTTTTTGAGCACTACATCCACAGGCAAAAAATCCTAAAATACTCTAGCAGCTCTCACTTGTGCCTTCAACAAATCCGCTAAGCCGATGAGCGATGAAGCCATCTGCTGGTCGTCTGGGGGAAGCACTCTCTCTTCAATTGCTAGACCTTTTTGCTTCATCTGTATGGCCTCATCAAGCTTGCCCTGTGTGACAAGCAGCAGTTTTGTGTAAGGCAGTCCAGGGGAAGCAGGTCCAGGGGCTTGCTCGCGGATGGCAAGGGAACGGTCATACGATGGTCCACCTTCCTCACATTTGCCCCGGAATACGGCCAAAGCGCAACATTGATGCGGTCAAGACAAGAAAAGCGGAGGAACAAATGCTCAACAACGACAGAGCACAACTGTTTCCGCGCGTCTACCCCTGCCCGTCCATTCGAAATCCTTCCGGCGGCTCTCACCTGCTCTTTCAAATACTTCGTCCACAAATTGAGGTCTCTAGCAACCTTCAGGTGAACAGGACAGTCAGTATGCAGCAAGCGTATGCGAACTGGCTCGGCCTTGTCATCCTTCTGCTGGCATATATAAAAAAACAATGAGGAGTTGAAAATAAGCTGAGAAACATTTCTCAACAACCACGTCCGGTTGTTGAGTGCTCTTGCCACTTCGGATGTTCGCGTATGAGAGCTTCCTCGGAGATAGCTTGTGCCCTAGCGTACAACGATCCGACCTCGTCGTCCTTGGCCTGCCAACAATATTTCGGTCTACAAGCTGGTTAGGATGAAGCCCCAAATATTGTCCCCTGAAAAATATCTCCCGCGGTTTTTCCGAGTTGGCCCCTGACTTATGCACGCGTGTACTGGGACTCGATACGAAACTGGTTCTATTCTTCCTGGTTTTCGTTGGACATCGCAATTCCAAAACCACTGCGCTTTCGTACGGTCGGGTGAACGATATCCTGCAAATAACTTGGGGTGTAAGTTACAAATTTCGACCGAAATGTTCTGAGATGTACGCTGCCGTTGAATGTAATAAGACGTCCGCGGTTTGGGGTTTTGGCTCTAAACTTGGTGGACGTCATTCTGGGACAACCCCGTTACAACACCAAAGTAAATTTCCAGCTTTTGAGTATTCGGTATCAATGGCCGGGAATCGTTGCCTGGAACCTTTAAAAGCGGGGTTTAGTCCCGAACACGCAGCATGTATTCTTCACAACATTACTTTTTTTTCATTCGCAGCAACTACACCTACCTTGCTACCACGGGAGGACAGTTGGAGGCGGTCGATGAAAGATACAAGGCACGCCACGATGCTCCATGAGGTTGTGTTGCAAAAATGAGAACGACATCCAGATGAAGGCTGGCGACGCCAACCCGATAAAAATATTTACCGTCAAGAAAACACCGTGAGCCCATCATGATTTTGTTTAAAGTCGATTTTCGCGTAAGATTCTCTGGGTTGCTAGAAACGCTACGATGTTGAACACGCGAAGAATGCGTATGTACGACGTTCGGGATTTGACGTATTAAGTATTACCCCAACAAATGCTCTTGGTCCCAGGGCGCCTCCAATTCATCTCCTTGTTCTAGACAGAGAGGGGAGACAGGGAGCACACATCGAAGTCAACTGCGTGTAGACATGACACAATACACGCCAACTGGTGTGCCGAACTTAGGGAAGGATCGCTGAGAGGAGGGGGTCGTTAGAAGTTCGGTGCGTGACTGCAGAAAAGTCGATTTACAACAATCGCGATGGTGAAGCAGGCCGCACTGCATTTATTGCCGCCACTCGCAGACGAACTGCTAACCTTGGCGTGAGGAAAACAGCCTTTGAAAGAGACACTTGGTAAACAAACTGCAACCGCCTGACGTCAGCAACCGCTCCAAGCGTGATGCGATTTAAGACAATTCCTTGTATGGCGAAGACAATGGTTGGCTGCGAAAAAGATAGCAGGACGGATGCTTTGGTTTTCCTGGTGTGAAAGAAGGGCTCTGGGTCTTTGGGTAGATGTGCATTTGCTCGGGGTATGTGGGTGTGACGCGGCGAAAAAACACAGGAGCGCAAAATGAAAAAACCCCAAGCACACATTCGAGGTGCTGCGTTCTGCTGAAGCATCACGCCATCTCGGTGGATTCGCTAGGTTGTAGAATAACCCGAGAAATGCAGACAGAGTTAAACTTGTGTACTTTCACGGGCCACTGCCAGCACAAGGCCGTGGCCTGCTCGGTTGACGAGCAGGCCGAGGACAACAATATCGTGGATGGATCAATGCACACGCGAGGTTTCCCGGACAGCGGTGAATTGGTAAGCGCGCACCCACCGACGCGAGTACGAGGCTTTCAGCCTACGGAGGCGGAGGGAGATTTCGTAGGTTCGTTCTCGTAGAACAGTAGGTTCGTTCTCGTAGAACAGTGCGTGGTTTCCAGGACACTGGCAAGAGAGACCCATCCGAAAGGATTGCAACTTGAAGGCGCCCGATTAGCCGAGACCCGCTTTCGCCCATGGCGCCACAAGTCAGGCCACGCTCATAGCAGTCATTGCATAGTACTACACGTGTGGCGATTGGGGGTAGCTTTGGGATTTGGCGTCGCTGGATGGGTGAATTTTGGGCGTTCACCCTGAACCAGCTTGTACGACAGACAGCAGGGATCGTAACAAAAACAACTGAACACACAACCTACAAAAACAGGACATCCACCCGACTCTCCGACAAACTCGCCTTGGAAACTCTAATGGCTCTCACCTGCATCGCATACAACAAGCCCAGGTTGATGAGCGACTGAGCCACGTCAGGGTGATTACCGCCGAGAGTTTTCTCGAGGATCTCCAGCGACATCTTGAACAGCTCCTCGGCCTTAAGATATTCGCGCTGGGACGAGATGAAAAAGCGACAATACATGTGATCAGAACGAAGAATGCAGAGGGACAAATGCTCAACAGCCCCATCCGGTTGTCGAGCCCAGTAGCCACTTGTGGATGATCGCTCCCCAGAGCCGCCTCCCCAAGATCAGGACGGCACGTTTCCACAGAAGCTCCGCCTCTTCTTAATAGTTGCCCTGTGTGCCGACCAGTGGCTCATTGCGAGCTACGTTTACTCCAGGATCCCCAAGATCTTCCCGGGAAAAGTGATGGCTCTTACCTGTTCAAGCCGCAACACCGCCTGGTTGCTGAGCGACTCGGCTACATCAGGATGATCAGGGCCTCGAACTTCCTTGCGGATCGCGAGGGATCTCTCATTGAAACAACAGGCATCCTCATATTTGCCCTGGCATGTCGTGAACAAGTGCGAAAAGAGCGCGAAGGCCTTTGCAGAGGAACAAATACTCTACAACACCAGTTTTGAGCACTGCTGCCATCGCAGGGTGCTCCGGGCCAAGTACCTTCTCTTGTGTGGCCCACTCATAATGAGGTTGAGCATCAGAATTCTTGCCCTGTATAACAAGCAGAGAGCTGGTGTTAAGGCAGCGGTCACCCCAGAATGCGGAAAAAGGAACCGAGACAGGTAGGCCCTACCGAACTTCCAAGAATAAAAATCGATGTTCACCTGCTTCTGGAACAACTGCGCTTGGTTGTTAAGCAAAGCGGCCACATCCGGATGCTTCGGATGCAGGGTCTTCTCCAGTATACCTTCTGACCTCTTAAAGAGTCGGTCGGCCTCATCATAGTCGCGCTGTGTAAGCAGTGGGATGGTGTTAAGACAGCGGTCCACCACCTAGGATGAGGAACAACTCATCGATATTTGTACATCTCGACTTTTGAGCTACCGATATCGGCAACATATATATAACTAATGGCATAATTTTTCGACGAGGATCAAATAATGATTTTTTAGGATTTTCTCTACAGCATGTTTCCGGAAATTCATTCTGCTCTCACCTGTCTCATCTTCAACGCCGCCAGATTGTTAAGCGACCGGCCCACATCCGAATGCTCCGGGCCCAGCACATTCTCTCGTATGGCTTGCGACCGCTCATAGAGCGGCTCAGCTTCAGCATACTTCCCCTGCGTGCAAGCAGAGGGTTGATGTGGGGAGTTGTCCGTCGAGAACTATGCAAAAGCACTGACAAACGTAGACCCTTCAAAATGTGCCTGAAAAAACATAACTCTCTCACCTGAACCTCCAACAAGTGTGCCTTGTTGTTAACCTAATGTAGCAAACATGCTGTTCTGATCGCCTACTGTTGTCGTCAGCATTTCCTTGGCTTCATCGTACAGGCAGCTTGCGCCATCAAACTTTCCCTGTAATGTGAGGGGCAGGCGTGATAAAAGCGGGGTCAAGGTCAGTAGAGCTGATTGGAAAGGGAGACATGCTCGACAACAGTGTTCAATCCGCCAAAACATCACCGATGAGTGTAGGCCTCACAAACTTTTCTAGGCAGATACTCCTTTCAACTCACCTGTTTCTGCAATGACAACGCCTGGTAATTGAGCCACAAAGCATGCTCAGGGTGGCCAGAGACCAGTGTCTTCCCTATCTCGGTAGCTTCACGGTACAGATCGTCCGCGTTTTCGTACTTGCCCTGGAAAGTTAGCAGAAAGAGTCGGTAGAGCCCGCTGAATAACACATGCTCAACCGGGGTTGTTGAGAAACATAACATGAAGAAAGTGTCGCAACAAATATCTTCAGTGACGATGACAGCTGTCATTCTTGCCTTCCACGAATCCGTGTTCTCAACAACAAAACTTCGTTCGGTTCCCACCTGTTCGAACAACACCCAAGCCAGGTTGCTATATACACCAGCGACTTCGGGGTGGTCATGTCCCAGCGTGGTCTTCAAGATGCTGATGGCACGCTTGTACAGAGGCTCCGCTTCCTTGTACTTGCCCTTCACACAAGCAGTTGGTAAATGTAAGGTAGTTGCCCATCTGACTGTACAAAACATGCGGATCCGTGGGGGTTCACAACAATACTCATTTCTCACCGTGAGACAACCCCGGTTATCAAGCGATGCCCCACCCACAAACTTGTGTCGTGAGAGAGGGGTTCGGCAACATCGAACACAACCGGGTCTTCTCTTGCTGTCGAAACCTGTCTGTACCTTTCGCCCACAAGCAATGCCGCGCCCTGAGGATCTCATCTGACGATTCGCACCCCTTACGCAGCGCAAATCAAAACGCGCAACCTGTACAACAGGCGACAGTTTCAAAGTCACCTCTTGCATCAATGCACTAGCGTGGTTGGACAGTGCGGTAGCGAGGACCACTTTGACATGATGTCCTTGTGTTTCATCAAGATATTTATCACAGCGCTCCGCTTCCTGCATCAACACAGAGACGGCGGAGGTGCATTCATATCAAAGTGGAGCGGCAGGACGCTTCGCTGGCCATACACACAACAAGGACATTCCTAGAGAGTGGGCGGAGGACATGCACATGGAACAGCGAGACGCAGCAGTCCAGACTCTCACAAGGTAAGATCACCTGGGCAAGCAAACTCTGAGCCTCTTCGTATTGTCCAGATGCCAGAAGCAGTGCCGGGAGAACACTGCGAGTTGAAGCCCAGTTCTTCCGAGACAGCTCTGTCATTTCTGAGAGCGTCTTCTGCTCCATGTTCTTGAAAAAATACTCGGCCTGCATTTTCTCCGTGACACTGAGTGTACGGGACCACTTGTAGACCTCGTAATGACCGTTCTTCAGGCCAGTAGAAGGATCTGAGATGTAGCTGGATCTCACAAATATGCCCTGCCACGATGGCATAAACTTTAACATCCCTGTAACCATTTCTCGCGTAGTTGTGTATGAAGCCATTGGACACCCGTACGATATCCGTCTCCTGAATATCAGTTCAAATCAGTAGTCAGGTAGCACAAAGGGTATAAAACGGCACGAGCGTTTCACGACATCTTCGCGTTCCTGCACATCGGCAGAGCAACCTGATATCATCAAGTACACACCGCCTGCACACGACGAGAAAATTCGAAACTTTTGGAATCGAGTTTGAAGAAACGTATCCAAACAGGACACCGTCAGGACATACGATAGAGCGTGGACCTCAACATCCTACAACGTCATATCGATGCCGCTTACCCGACAAACCATCAGCAACTCGAAGCCATCCGCAAGATCGTGAGGAGTGTTGCAGATGAGTGTTACCCGGGCCAAATCCGTTATATCGCGGATGGTACGCCATTTTTCGACCTTATGCCAACCGTTGATCTTCCGCATGGTGCTATCCAGGCTCTTCACTGGTGTTTCGATCATTTCCAGCCCAGGTGTTCCGGGAGGAGCCACCGACCCAACGAGTTGGTCCAGGTCGACCTTGGCGCGTTCAGCGTCCTTACGGTAGTCCTCAACGGACCTCATCTTCGTCGGCTGCACAAGGTCGCCGCCAGGTTGCTCCTTGCCCTGGACCCTGTCCAACTCACGAAACGATTCATCTCGCCGTAGATCGAAGTACAGGCGGGTAGTTACCCTCTCATACCGTTTTCGTGTCGACCTGTAGGTACTTGAGCAAGTTCATCTTGGCTTTACGCTCGATGCTGGAAGGAAGATTGTTCAGTTTGGTCTCCAGATCCAAGAGCCCCTTGATATTGATATCCAACACAGCGTCATCCATCTGAGGTCAAAAGGGGCGCGATTGCGATTGGTCATCTTTACCTCGTGAGGCTTGCAAAACTCCAGCCGAAGCAAAAAAGGAACGACTCGGAACGGAGCGCTTGTCGACTACAAGTCCCTAGCAATCGTGAGCGTCTGTTTCTTCAGCTGAATAAACAGTTATTTTCGCGTCTGGCAAACAAATAGGCGCATCTGCCATCGTAGCGCGCAACCAAACCACGCGAGGCTCACATGGTGTAAATGAATCTCTTCACCGATAAAGAATTGCCGTCTTTTGGGCTTATCAAGCAGTCATTTCGTTCTCTAGAGCTTCAACGGTGTTTGCCGAGGACGAAGTTTGTCGAAGAAGAACATTCGGGTTTCTCTCTCTCAGGCACTACCTCACTCTGCCCACCAACGCATACACGTTGACAACACCAACAGCAACCAGCGCTAGCTTCTAGCGAGAATCTACATCGCTTATCGTACCACTAGTTTAGTCGAACGTTTCGTAGAAGAAAAAGGTAATGCTAGCTTCTACAAGACGAGTCTTGGTCCAAGGGGGGTCACGCAGTGTATTTCTTCAAAAAGCACCCGTCGCTATTCGGGTGATTGACCCGATCAGGGCAGTCGGAACTAGAATCTAGTCCATTGACGAAAATGTAAGGCATCTTCAGCACACCAGCCTTGGCACGGTGAAACCCTGCACCCTGCCACCGGTGGATCTTTACTAAGCAAACACTACCATTTTCAACCTGTCAGGGGGGAAGAGGGTAGTCGACATGTATCCGGAGTTTTAACGGGTGTATATTTAGCAGAAGTTCAAGTGCGACCATTTTCGAAACATATTTCGCCGTGAACGAGTGGAACCACATTTATTTCGTCGTAAACGTGGAACTATTGAGATTCGAACGCGCGACCTGGTGCTCATGCGTCGGCCGTCTGCCAACTACGCTACTGGGCCATTCGCCTTAGTAGGTTGGGTTCATAAGGTCGGGTTACTGACTACCGCGTCTCCTCCCTCCTTAGGCACCTCCTCCAAATCACCTTTCTGAATTGAAGGCACCTGAACAACCAAGCATGGACTTCTACTAGGCTTTCAAATATCGTGGATGACGTACTTTCCCCCCATCCCACCTACTACCGTCGTTCACAGTTTCATATAACCCTGCGGCCCACTACGAGCTACGATCCGGGGATACACGAAGAACTCTTTCGCGGTGCATACCTAAATTTCTATAGCGAGAAGGACCTCGTCAACAATAAAACCGACTGAGTATACTCACGAACAAGCGCTTTCTAGTCATTGTTATGGTCGGGATGTGGACTCTGGACACTGATTTTCCAAAGGGTTATGAGGGTACCTTCAGCCCACGGGGGCGGTCCGCTATGGCACAGGATTTTTGTATTGTTGCCAATCGCTCTGAAGATTTGAAGTAAATCCGCAGTGCGACTACGCGAATGTGAAAGTTGAGGGGAAATGCGTCGACGGTGTCGACGTGGTGGAAGTAGACGGTCTGTCTGCGCACGGATTTGAGGACTATACGATTGATTCCACCTTAGCTACAGCTAACGCAACGAAAAAACGGGATTTCTGTTCTGCGCTCTCTTTTCGCAGCTTTTGTTTGTCCGTGTTCGTCTTTGTTTTCGTTCCCCAGGAGGAACACGTCGGACAACGGTGGCGTTGCCGTCGATTCGGTCCAACCGGTGGCGCGATACGACTACGTCATGATGTTGGGCGTGGACGTTGCAGACCAACAGCTGAGCGCACATGCTCACGAGCACAAGCCGATGACGTACTTTTGGCGTCGTATTTTCGATCAAAAGCTTGCCCAGGCTATTACCAATGCATACCTCGTCTATTCGAAGTGGGTGGAAACACTGCAGATGCAGTGCAAGGCGGGGTTGGCGAAGCGTTGTGCCAGTAGCTCAGGCGGGGCAGCTAGCTCGGGGGGGGCGGCTAACTCTGGTGG